CACTAATAAACTACAACCGAGTGTGTGCATTATGAATCATATTCATAATTTATGATATTTTATTGCATAAGCGTTCGGATTAAAGATCCGAACGTTCTTTACAAGAATTGAAACGAAATAACGTTTGGATAATAGAGRATTCGTATAACGCAAGTTCGGATAATCGCGGTTCGACTGTAGTAACATTGGGAGATGGTATTTTGCACCAACTGTATTACTTGTAATTTACGCCACTAATAGGTATAYATTTATGTGCGCATGGAAATATAAAAATTAAGCATGTATTTTGCGCCACATCTAAAAATTCATTTTGGTAATTTGTACCACGACAGAAAACGAAATGGAATATGTAATCTGTGCCACATTTTCAACTTTAATTTATTGTTACAGTTTACCATCAGATAAATTTACTGATAATCGCATCGGAAATACAGTAATACATTAATACCGACGCGTATCAAATATAATATTGTTGTGTTCAATTAATAATAAGTAGATACGAGATCGATTACGTCTAATTGATTACCATTTGTAAAATAGTATGTAATCTTTAGTTTATAATTATCATAATATGTCAACTAATTTTTATATATATTTTTAATATCCAATATTTTACTTAGCTTTTAAATATAAATAACGTACGTATATTGAAATACTTTTGTTCATAATTATTTAATCTGCAAAAAAAAWAAATAATTGTTTAGTTATTTGAAAGTGGCAAATTACAATTTTTGAAAGTATAAATGGCGCATATTACTTATATACGAGTATTACTTGTATATATATTACTTAATATATATTACTTATTATTTAGTTTTATATAGCACAAATTACAGACATTAATTTTTAGATGTGACACAAATTATATAAATATATTTTTTGGAGGGATGCTTTTTGCGCAAATTACATACGCCCATTAATTTTAGGAGATTGACATTTAAMATTCTCAGTATCTTTCAAAACAACCGGGGAGAAAACAAATTAACTAGGCTTATAATATATGATTTGATTTTTTATTTCAATTTAAAAAAATAATAATAAATACCAAATAATAACCATAGAACCTTCGTGTTTTCACCAAATATTCATTTGACTCATATAGTTATAATAATTTATTGTGGGTGTCATATAGATATAATTTACATGTTAGAACATTTTTTTAATTTATAGACGATTACATTTTTAATTTTTGTATGCGATAAAAAAAAACCTTGGATATTTCTTACTATAAGTTGCTARTAAACTATTAGTTAAGAAAGTAAAAAATACTAAAAGTATGATTGTACTTAAACATTTTTTTATGAGTATCCGACACTAAAATGACATTGATTTAATTTAAACTGGTATCATCAAAATATTTTGGTTGTTTTTTGTATTCTTCATAAAGGATTAATCTTTATAACTTGAAACATTTTAAATGCTACTTAATTTATTATTTTCTATATGATTATTTTAAGATATACAAACAATYTACAATTTTAAAATACTCATGAATCGCTATAAAATTAAAATATAATAAAAAACGATAAGTGACTCTTTGAGTGCTTTAAAATCAATCTTAAATCCATACTCTAAGAATGGGCTAGTGCAGAACATCCAAGCACTGACATCTACATCCCATAAACCATTCTCTTTCGTGTGGGTCTCTTCTCACGTCAGCATTTCTGGCAATGAAAGAGTAGATAAATCTACAAATGAAGCTACACTTCCTCACAATGCCTTAAAACTAAACTTAACCACATCCTCAGAGTCATTTGATACCATTAATCTCAAAATTCTTGATACATGACAAACAAAATGGACCAACGTTCCTCTCAAATAAATTAAGAAATATCAAGACTTCCATAAAAAAAATGGAATTTTCCCTTTAGCCTAAAAATAATAGACGAGGTCATCATAACCCGAGCGAGAATAGGCTACACTCACCTCACTCATTCCTTCCTCATCACTAAGGAACCTGCTCCAGTATGCAACACATGCAACGTGAACCTATCGATCGACCACATTATCACTAGATGTTTAGAATCCCAAAATACACTGGAACTCGGACAATTTTTAAAAACACAACTTTCCTCCAGGAGCGGAGTGGCCGGTCTGGAAATGGGAATTTTCCAGATGGCCTGGCCCATATTATGGCCTGGTGGCCCGATCATTTTATATTAGATTTTATTTACAAAATTAGTAAATGCGTCAACAATGTTTTTGTATTAAAACTTTGAAATTACGAAATTAATAATTATTGTATTTGGTATATTATTAATACAAATTGTGATTTGTGTTACATTTTAATAGCATCGTAGGAGTATAAGAAAGCATGGGCCATCGGGTATAAAATTTCAAAATATCGATTGGTTATTTTTATAATAAACACCCGAGTACTGACGCCTGTTGAAACCTGAAAGTTGTTTATCTTCAGAGTGGCAACGAACATAGACATACACCAATATATAATGGCTATATTGAATAATACCTAATGTTGTGTTATTGGTCGGTGGTCCCACTGGTTATTGTTATTTTTATAAATAATATCTGTAATAAACCCAAACAAATCTTCGCATGCAGATGTGATATGGTTAAGGCTATGATTGCTGATTGTTATTAGTTATTAGCGTTTGTGCACTGGACTTGAGTGTGTCCAAACAACTACGCGATTTTAATTATTGATCATACGATATTATGAATTATGGACAAAAAAAAGAAAGGAGGGGCAAAAAGGGATCGTGAAAAAAATAAAAATTACTTGCGGAATGTGCTGAAAAATGTAATCGATTAGATTAATTTTTTCGCAAAAGTACACCTACTAAAGTGACTGATAGCCAAGACAGTCAATTGTTGGCCGGAGATCCAAGTTCTGAAAGTAAGTGGATTAATCATTTTTAATTTTTATAATTTTAAGGCTTAGCATTTTTCTAGATACAAGTACTTAGGAAATAGGAAACAATTTTTTGTACCATAAAATATTTGATTGTATTTATTGCTTAGCTATAAATGTTCTAGTTATGGTAGGGTCGTTGGGATCATTAAAAATTTTTTAATTTAACAAAATAGATAAAATAATATAATAAATTGAATAACGTTTATTTTTATTTTATTTGCTGGTTAACAAAATTAAGAAACAATATTTGAAAATTTCCGAAACGTTTGTGTAATAAATTTTATATAGTGAGTGAATACCTATTTAGCACAGTTTATTTTAGTATATAGTACCTCAGATATTATGTACTTATCTTTTTCATTAATCATTAGTTCATTACTCATTGCCGTAGAGCAAAGGACTTGTAGCTCTAAAAAATCACCAAATATGCACTTAATATTTTGGTTGTATAATTAAATAGATAAAAATGTCTATGAAAAAATATTGATAAAATGATAAATTATTTAAAATATGCAATTGTAAGCGAGATAAAATTTTTCAATACTAGCTTTGTGAAAGCATGAAATGTATTTGCTTCGTACTTGTGAAAGGTCATTTTCAACCCTGAAGTATTTGAAAAATTGGTTAAGAAATTCAATGACAAATGAAAACCTTGAGTCTTTTATGCTAATGGTCATTGAGAATAAAATTCTGATGGAAATAGATAATAATATTATAATAAATGCAAAATGCAGTTGGTGAAAAATCTAAGCTATTATCAAAATTATTATTATAAATGTATATCTTTCTTATTATATAATTATTAATAATTTGTTATAGTTATTGTTTATAAATCATAATTAATATAATACTTCTTTATTATAAATATATT